ATTTTCCCAGGCCATAGCAGAGAGCTGGATTAGAAGAGGAGCAGCCGGGGACTCAAACATACGCCCATATGGGATGCCAGCTTTGCAGGCTGTGGCTTAACTGGCTACATCCAATGCCACCTGCAATGTGATATTTGATAAATATATACTTATAAAATGATTAACACATTCAAGTTAGTTAGCATGTCTGCTACTCTACTTAGTTAACCACTTTTTACATGTGAGTATGTTGAGAATACTATGAGAATAATTCAGAAAGTGTGGGAAATATGGATTATGAAAAACCCTCCTGGATTTCAGAAACATATTTTCCATGAGTTTTTGAAGTAACATCATATTCTCTTAGCAAACCTCAAGTATGCGATACAATCACTATAGTCACTAGGCTGTACCTTGACTCTCCAAACTGAAAATTGTGAAAATCAAGTTGATCAAAGGTATAAAAGTGACTTTCACTTCTTTTGGGTTAGTCTTAGAGCCTAGCACAAGGCTAAACACATAAAAAGCATTCAGCAAATATTTAATGAGTGAACCATATTTCAAAGGTTTTGCTGCTATGGGTACTCTATGCCAACGTAGTATTTAATGGTACCTAAGTTAGATATTAACAAATTATAAAATGTTTTTAACTCAAACTGTAGGAACATTTTAGAGCCTTATTTGATAAGCCTAAATGTGTTTTAGAATTTTCTGACAAAATATGGGACTCCCTATTACATTTGAGTTTCAAATATGTATAGATATATTTTTAGTATAAATGTGTCCCAAATATCACATAAAATATCCTCTTTATCTTCTTAAATTCACCAGTTATCTCATTAAATTTAGATTGAGTACTGGGCATCCTGTATTTTTACTTACTAAATCCAGCAACACTAATACAGCCTTTAAGTCTTGAATCTGACTGAATTTGCCTTTTTCCTTTTTTCTGAGGATCAGGCTATAAAATGCTATTAAAATATTTTAACAAATTTTAATTATTCCCCTCTAAAATAAAACATTTATGAACTCTGACCTTCTTGACTGTCTCTGAAGACATACGAAGGAAAAAAATTCAGAACAGATGTAATTCTGAATTAATGCATAGAATGGCATTATTCACAGTGCCTAGTGAAGCCCATTATGTTGAATTTTGCTAAAAGAAAAAAAAATAAAAGACTAAGGTTTCAGCCGTTTTCTAATGACATGGCCAGATGATGCCACAAAATCTTGGCATTACTGATAAGTACACACTGTGCTGGAAAATCAATAGTTTCTGAAGGAGATCCTGAAGGGAACTTTCCATTATTGAGGGCAGAAGTAACTGAGCCCCACACTCATAAATTCCTGGAGTTCAGGGTGCTCCGTGTCCTAAGCAAGAGAGCACAGGCCTTCCCATGACGTCATACACTGCCGAGGTGGAATCTCTGCTTTCAAAAATTACTAAGAGCGTCTACATTTTGGAACTTCATTTTTAACTATTTCAAAGTGCCAGTGATTGAGTTGGGAATGTGTACAGGTGTCCCTCCACTATTAGAAAGCCTGATGTGCTAGAAGATAAGCTTAGGTAAGTAGATAAATGGCAGACATGGTGATTTACATTAAATAATAATTCTCTGTATTATTCAACTAAATAGTAAATCCCCTAAGTATTTTTAAAAATTGTATGATTTGCTCCCTTGCAAAGTAAAACAACTTTGGGGGGAATTTTTTTTATTTGGGTTATGAAATTTAGTCCATTGCTTATTTTAGCACTCCATGTTTATAAATATATGCACAATGGTTTGTTGTTACAATTAGTATTCTCCTTCCTTAAAATTGTATGCTACTAATAATCCCTCCTCCTCCAGGAATACTTGTCTATAAAACTTTGCTTCCCTTTAACTGCTTTCCTTTTCTTAAACTTGTAGATAAAGCTTCACTGAAACTTTTGAGTAAACCACATCATTTTATTTTCACTCTTTCACATGATCTCCTAACATCTTAACTACAGAAGACATCAAGAAGTAAAATTCCCTCAGAGACTTATTTTAGCAAATGGAGTCATTCTCTAGAAATAGCACGGAAGGGTCCTTCAGTCTTCAGTTCTTAGCAAAATTTTACTCAAGAATAGTTTCACATTTACATAAAGACTATAAGGAAGGATCATACAGAGTTCTCATATATCCCATACCCTACTGTTGGCTTCCTATATTACTGTGGTACATTTGCCACAACCAGTGAGTTGACATTATCTTTGTAATAATACCTTAGATTTCTTCAGGTTCTGTTCCTGGGGCCATCCATGACACCACATTACATTTAGCCATCATGTCTCCTTAGGCTTCTCTTGGTACTTTACTTTTCTTTTTTCTTGTTTTAATTTTTATTTATGTATTGAAAGACAAAGTCACCGACAGAGAAGCATAGAAAGACAGAGAGAGAGATAGAGAGAGAGAGGGAGAGGGAGAGAGAGAGAATAGCTTCCAACTGCTGGTTCACTCCCCAAATGGCTGCAATGACCAGGGCTGGGCCAGACCAAAGCCAGGAGCCAGGAGCTTCTTCAGAGTCTCACACATGGGTGCAGGGGCCCAGGTACTTGGGCCATCTTCTGCTGCTTTCCCAGGCCATAGTAGAGCTGGATCGGAAGAGGAGTAGCCAGGACTAGAATTGGCACCCATATGGGATGCCAGTGCTTCAGGCCAGGGCTTTAACCTGTTAGATAGGTAGTGGAGCAGCCAGGACTCAAACTGGCGTCCATAAGGGATGCCAGCACTGCAAGCAGAGGCTTAATCAGCTGCGCCACAGCGCCAGTCCTATTTTTCTTATCCTCTTTTTGATACTGTACTCTTTAGAAGGAAGTCACATATACTAAGCTCACACTTAAGAGGTGGGAAATTAGCCTCCACCTCCTTGAAGTGGTAATATTTATATAGATTATTTGGAATTGGAACTCTTTCAGTTGGCTCTCCCATTCTTTTTATATAAAACAAAATTATTAAAAAATCCTGACATCTAAACATATTTATGGAGTACTCTGTGATGCTTTGTTGCATGTATACAGTGTGTAATTTCCAATAAAGGCAACTATATTTATCCTTTCAAGCATTTAACATTTCTTTATAGGGAAACCATCCAAAAATTCCATCTTCTATTTTTCTTAATAGAGAAATATACAGTAAATTAACTATGTATCTTCCCCCTACTGTGTAACAGAATCGCAGAACTCCTGACATGCTCTCTACCCCCTCCTGGTAGGTTTTACTTTTTTTTTTTCTGTTCTCTTCTTTTTCTGGAGCACACTCTTGCTTTCTGAACCTACACATGTTCCAGATTCCTCTAATCTATTTACTTCTCCAACCCTAGATTCAGCTACTTCTCTAAGGATCCCTGGTTCCTTTCATTAGAGAATGACATTACACATTAAGATCTGGGTCCTGTTAGGTGAAAGCCACTGTGACTTTTTTTTTTAATAAATTCTTTCAAAGGTTGAGTGACAGAGATAGAGACAGAACGCTCTACTATCTGATGGTTCACTCATCAAATGGCTGTAATGGCTGAACCTGGGCCAGGCCAAAGCCAGGAGCCTAGAACTCAATCTGGGCCTCACATATTGGTGGCAGGGGCCCAAGTACCTGCCAGGCACATTAGCAGGAAGCTTTATCAGCTGTGGAGCAGCCGGAACTTGAACCGGAGCTCCCACAAGAGATGCTGGCATCAGAAGCATTATCTTAATCATCTGTGCCACACCACCACCCCCAACACGGTGACCTTAGCATTTCTCATACCCTTCTCCTACTTGAGTGCACTTGCAGGTAGACTGAAGCACTGTTGTATCATTGGTTTCAAACAACGCTCTGAGGAGGAAATTATAGCTTCAAAAATATGTGATGGATTTCATGATTTTATACTTTCATTTAAACACAATGATTTTAATTTCCCTTGGTTTTGCTTCTTGGCTATTAATTTTTGCCTTTTCTTTTTCTTATTAAAGGAACTGAAAGGGAACAAGGTTCTTAAGGAGAGGAAGGGTGGATTACTTCTCTCGAGGCTTGGCTGGGTGCAGCCTGGTAATTCAACTGGAAATGGCAGGGTGTATCTAAGTCTAAGGGGAGCTTAATATACACTGTTGTTGTTCAACCCTTGTTTAAAAACACTTATGTGATGACCACAGACATGTGAGAGACTGGTTGTCGAAGAATGAAGAGGTTGCAACAAGGAAAGAAAAGAAATGACAAATACTATTATCAAACAAAATAACCACCTTGTATTTTTATGATGTGTATGTGAGGAAAGCTGGCTTGTAATACCAGGAGTGGCTCTTTCCTAGGCACAATGTCGAACACTGATTCTATCTAACATCTGAGCTTTAAATGGCTCTCAGAACCTCAAGTATGTCCTATGGTTGCCTAGGCCTACTAAATTGTCATGCGACTAGTATTTTGAAAATCTACAAAATTAGGCAAAGTTTAATTAATAAATGTATGCCCCTCACAATCTGAATAGGTGTAATTACATTAAATGTTAGCCAAAAGGTAGATGTCCTAGCACCCAGCATGTGCATGTGTAAACAGTATATTCGATTTGATTGTTCTTCCTTGTACGTCCCCTGCTGCTGTTTATTCCCCTCACCTCCAACTTAGACACTCTGAATAGTACTTTAGACCTCAGACAGAAAATACATTTAACCACCAGGGACAGAATCCCAGCCCTTGGGCTCCATGTGAAAGCCAAGGCCCACTCAGGTGACTGGAGCCCTGTAGTCAGTGGCCATGGGTCTCCACTCCGTGCAAAACAACTCTGACTTTTCACTTCACACTGCTGAGTTAATATCCCAGCAAATATTTTTGGCCTCTATTAACTAGATTCTTTTGGAGCTAATAGAGCCGGTCAGAGACAGGCTGGCAAGCTGAAGGTTTTCATTTCCTGTGCTCCAACTGGAAAGTTGCTGAAGGCTGGTCTTCTCCACATACTGCCTTGTCAGGTTGTGATTCAGACGATCTGGTCTTTAGCCAACAGACATCAAAGAGAGCAGACACAAATCAATAGAAAAAAATAACTTCTTTTTATTTACAAAAAAAATCCAAATATTGGATGCTGTAAACAAAATTCACAATCTGATCCCTCTAGCACTGATCCAAACATGTCAGTTTCTAAGAGTCCATTTTCCATCAACTCCTTTTCTGCCTGTGACACAGTCTATAGTCAAAATATCCCCAAAGAGTGACCCAAAGTGCAGCTTGCTGCAACAGGACGCTTCAGAGCAGACAATGGATGTAGCGAGGTTGGAGGGAGAGACAGCCAGCGGGCAGAGCCTCCTCCATTCTGCAAAGCTTTGCAGCAAGTCTTGCCAAGTTACCTTGACATCTTCCCACTATGTACTTTTACCATTTACTTTGTTAGCAAGCCATTATCATAAAATATAACATAGAGATTCTTTCTTAGCATTGAAAAAGCTATGCTAAAAGAAATCTTAAAGAATGAATATATTTAAATAGGTGCTATATATGAAAGAACTTTTTTTTGGCTTTTTGGTTTCATCTAACACACTTCAACAAAAAAAGCTTATTTTTAAACTGCTGACAGCTTTCAACAAAATACATTTCATTTACAACATAGTTCACAATATTTATTTAACAAGTATTGCATGGAAAACAACTTTGTGCACAGTAAAGCAACCAACGGTAAGCAAACAGAAAGGGGTGGGAAAAACAGTATGTTCACTTTTCATTTCATTTCCTTCTTGGCTTGGGTTACAGATCATTTTCTATCCTTGTAGCTTTTGGAGCCATGTTAAAATAGTCCACCCAATGTCAAAGTGAGCAGTTACTTGTGATTCCATTTCTGGTAGGGACAAGTCCACCTTGGTGTAGGAGTTCTGCAGGCAGCTGAATTTACTGCAAACGAAGTAAACTTTTAAAAGGGAACTGTTGCAGGCGAGTGTTCTCTGACATGCCTGACTGGACAGGTTAGAAGAGCCTCCAGAAGACAAAATATCTTCCCGTTTTAAAGTTACAGCACACGAGGCCAGATAAACACGAAAGCAAACAAATCACAGGCACTAACAGGGAGTTGAGAGCTATTCTTTTTCTCTGACCTATACACACGGCTCTCTCTCACCAGACATTCAAATTTTTAGGCCACATATCCACAAAGAGAGACATATATTCCACTGTGCATTCAACTACATACGCACAAGACTAAAGTACATACAAAATAGAAATAAATTATATACGTATTAAAGTAAATGCTGACAAGTTTTGAGTACAGCCTGGTCTAACTGAACGCCAGGTGCTGGCACTTTCAACTAAGCTACCAAACCTCAAGTAAGCAAAAAATGAATATAAATATTTGAGAAAAATGAGAAGTATATTTTCAAATAGGGCTCCTCCCTACAAAAATCTGTGTGATAAATTAACAGCAGGTTGTTGCAATGTCAGAGTCAGAGATCTCCAGACTCTTTAAAATAGTAAACAGCTAATTTGTCAAGAATCGGGATAAGAAGAAAGCTGGTCACCAGTGGCTCCTGTGTTCCTGAGCATTGCCTTAGATTTTTTGTTGCTGTTGTTTGTTTTTTTGTTTTATTTAGAAAACTTCCAAACAGCTAAACAGGCAGAGAGCTCTCGTTTCTTCTGATAGGTGAGGATCAGGCTTAATCTGTAAATTAAATCTTTCCTGGTACATTGCAATTAATTTTTCAACCCAGGGCTAGAGTGAAGGAGTCTGAGCCAAAGTGGGAGCAGGAAGAGTTCCCCAGAAAACAGTGGATGGCAACACAAGGGCTGTGTCAGCTCTAAGAGAATTCACAGGGAAGCTGTGACAGCAAACTCATTAGGTTTCTGTTAAGGTTTCAAAGAAAGCTGTACAAAATGTGTTCAGGTAGGTTCACCTGGATTAACCTAGCACTGAACATCTGAGAGATACCGAGATAACAAACAAGCAAACAGGTTGCACGCCAACAGGTGGATGCTATTTTCTCCCCCAGTCCTTCTTTAACTGATGACAAAAATCTTCTTGTTGAGTATTCAGAGGAATTTTCACAGGAAGCAGCCGTCCACTAGGGTTGATGGGGATTGTGTGGTTGTTTCACTACAGAAATGGAAGGTTTTATGTGTTGGTTCAATTTTTAGCAAATGCATTTTCAGAGACCAGTGTCTAGAGGAATTAAGGTTCGAGAAGAAAGGGCAATTTGGGGATCAGCCATTCTCAAACTGTAATGGTAATGCCAGTTCATTTCACAAAGCTATACTGGTCTCCCGGAGAAGACAAAATAAAGTTGGATTTGATTTAGTGAGAGATTATTTAATTACAGTACTAAATATTTAAATGCAGTGTGACAACCAGATCAAAGAAGTTTCATATTGGCATGATTTTATAAAATATTATATATAATATATATCTCATATATAAACTTTAAGCAATTGTGCAAATACTCTTTAAAAAGGGTCATTTCACATTTACTAAATTCTAGTGGTCCAGAAATGCAGAATGCATTCATTAAAAAATTCATTTAAATATTAATAAGTAGTGTTCAGATCACCAGAAATTCTTTTTAGCAGTTAGGAATTTAAGTAGCCTACCACTGATTCATAATCCACTAGATTATATACCATGGAGGCATGCAATTAATTAAAAAGGGGGGGGGTTCAAACTGTCAAAATGACAGTTCAATATATAAAGAGTGCTCTGCCAAACAAATATTCTCCCATTTGTGGAATTCTCTGGCTCATAAAAAAGGAAAGAAAAAAAAATCACTAAAAATGTATAATCTCTGTTCTTCCTATCAAATATATTACTTGCTTTCCTCCTTCATTTAATTTTTTAGTTGTGGGTTTTAACTCATCATTGCAATATGCCCATATCTCATATCATCCTGTTGAAAACATAAAAACATATAGTAAACATTTCCTATTTGATACATTATTGTAGATCATAGTCAATGTATTGTGTGTATACACACGATACGTGTATATATACACATAAAATACGCACGTACCTATAATATCACACCAACAATGTCAACTTTATACACGTATTTGCCAAGAAAAAAATAGGGCATTTTCTCCACCATTCACAAGCTTATATGTTGTTTTATTTTCTTCTTGAGTCCCTGATAAAATAAAATAAGCATTAAACCATAAAACAATTTTCCACTTCAAATTTTCAGAAGGCAACAGGCACTTTGATGTGTATTGGTGTGTAACAAATATAGTATTCTTCATATATTTTACTATACCTCTTCTACTTGGGTATTGTTATCTGTTAAATCTTTGGTCCTTGAGCATACTTTCTTTGCCCCAGCTGTTTTTGCTTGCATTTTCACATTTTAAAAATGCGAGCTATGCACGCAGCTGGAATTAATGGATTGTGTCATCTTAAATTCTGCTGTTTGTTGTGAGAACTGCACCAACCTACTACTGTTCATTTGGAGCAAGCCCTTTCTGTTCGCACAACAGAAACACTTGCTACAAACTCAGATAGCAACACCAACATCGGAGTTCTCCTCCCTCCTGTACTGTTACTATCTGAACTCTGGAACTCACAAACAAGTGGAGGTGAGATCTTTTTTTCCTCTGTATTTTCCCTTTCAAGATTTTTCACCTTTAAAGGAAATTTTCCACTTTTTGTCTTCACTATGGCAAAGCTATGGGAGCACTTACTGCAAACCCATATTGTCATCAAGCAATTTTTTCTCTTGTTATCTTAAGAGAACCTGGTTGCTTTTAATGACAGGTCTCTTTTGTTTCAGACAGAATCCAGTTGGGTAGGATAAAGGGAGGGTCAGGAAGGGAGATCTTTCAAGATCATGCTCCCATACCTACAGAAAGATCCACAAGCTTCGCCAAGCTTAAATCCTGGAGCATATCATCATTGCACAAAACACATCCCTAATCAGGGCTGGGTCATTCTTTTTGTTTGTTTTTCTTTTTTCCCCCCCATCTTGTCTGAAATGGCTTCCCCACGGGACATTTTTAAATGATTCTTAATTGCAGGGCAGCCAAGTAGAATATGTCTGTTGCTGGCATGTGAATACTGGCTGAACCTGTGCAATGTAGTAATTGCTGAAGTTGGCATCTGCTACATAGGGGGCCGGCTGGTAATAGCAAGTGACATTAGCCACATTAGGGATGACGTTCTGGTCAGCTAGCACCCGGATAGCCAGCATTGTGATAAGATTTAAAGTCTGTCTTCTCTCATGTCCCATTAGGCACACTGTGCTCTCATTCACCACTCCGTGAAGGGTCATGAGATAGTCGTACTTGCGGTCTTCCAAGCCCACGAAGTGGTTCTGCAGATAGGACTCCAGTTTTCTCTGCTGTTCTCCAATGTCTGAGAAGTCGATGAAAAACCTGGAACACATGTACCTCTGGAGGGTCTTGATCTCATCAGAGGCGGGCCTGAAGCCCCTCACTAAGAGGTTGCAGTACTTAAGCAGGCCTCCTCCTCTGATCTCCTCGGGATTCCTGGTGGCAATGATCTTGTTACAAAGGTGATCAAAGGCTTCGTGAAAATCACCATAAACACTCTCACCGATGATGGTGGGGTGAAATGTTTCGGTCATTGGATTCTCTGAACATTCGTAAAAGAGCAGAAGAGAGTCTAATTTGATCTGAAAAGAATCTACACTGAATTCAAACTGCCTCCGGAGGGAATCCACAAATTTCAGTTCCACATTTTTGCCACTGTTGTTTGACAGGGATATAAGACTCCATCGGTCAGAGTCATTGCACACTTTAACCATTTTCTGCACATAAGCTTCCTATAATTTAAAAGATAAAACAAGAAAATGAGCAAACCTAGAAAAAGCAATAAAATAAATAAAACTTCTTCATTGCTGAGAATAAATTTTGCACTTTTCCTTTTGTTTGTCAAGTTTCAGCAAAACACTACCTGCAGGCTTAAGCAGTCTTCTGAAGACAGGAAAAAAAATTTAACGAGTAGCTTCACTGTCTGGGAAAGAGACTAGAAGTAATAGTTTGAGGCTTTTGGCAGAGGCAGCACAGCAGTAAGAGGCTCTGTTGTCATGTCTGACTTTTGCAATTTTTTTTTTTTTTTTGAAAATAGTCTAATGGGCACCATATCCACACGGCGTCCAGGTAATATTCCACAGACACAGAAGAGCACGCAGTGGTTAGTCTCTCACCCCCGTCCCCAGACACCTCGTTCCCTTCCCCCTACTCCCTCCCCCCCCCCCCCCCCCGGGGGGGTTTCAGGGACCCAAGGAGGGCCCTTTGGGGTTACTGTGCAGTTATAATCAGACACGAACTACAGTCCGACACTGGAAGGCTGACGCTTCCCCGGACAATTTTTAACTAATTACATAAAACGTGCCGTAAGCCAGAGCGGAGGGCGAGGAGAAGACAGTAGCACTGAACACTTAGCACCGAACCAATACGGAGCACCACCAGATACGTCCCTAATTCCCAGACTCGGCTGAAGGCAGCTAGGCAACCTATTCACATTTTCCGGTACAAGACGAAACCCACTGACTCAGTTCTGCTGCTGGCTGCTCCTTCCCCAACTATATCACAAACAACTGACTCCGTTTCAGTCCTCCACCGATCGGAATCTACCCGGCCCAAGGTTCCAGCAAGAAGAGCCAAGGGTCAAAAACCCAGGGGAAAAGGAAGCCGCCGGGGCGCAGAGGAGGAAGCGAGAAGAGCGGTGGCGCTGAAGCACCCAAGTACACGCAAAGACGCAATGCCGTCCACGCAGCTTGGTTTACTCGCGGGAAAAAAGCAAAGTCACCAGGAAAGTCATTCCAGGGCGCCCGCACAGGCCCCCAGCCCTGCCTCCTACCCGCCGCCCCGCTCCGGCCCCCAGGCCCCCAGCGCGTCGGCGACGGAGGCGGCTTTACCTTGAGCGTGAGCGGCGTGATCTTCTCCTTGTTCACCCCTTCGGGCAAGAAGTCCAACAGGCAGTCCAGCACGACGTCTTTCACAGTCTGAAACTCCTCTTCCCCGCGCAGGTCGGCGCAGAAGATGAGGTCCAGGTCCTTGTAGCCCAGGCCGCTGTCCTGGTGCAGGACGTGGCTGGCGGCCGAGCCGTTGAGGCGCACGTCGCGGACGCCGATGCGCTTCTCCGCCAGGCGCCGCCGCACCACCTTCACAATCAGACTGGGCTGCAGCTCGAGCGTGGGGAAGTTGCCGCGCCCGTGGATCGGGATGGTCTCGCTCAGGATGCCGTCCAGCCGCTGCACTTGCTCCCAGGTCAGCACGTTGCAGTGCGCCGTGGGGCTCTCGCAGTAGTCCAAGCAGTGCCCGCCGCCGCCGTCGCCGCCGCCCAACTCGCCGCCCAGCGGGATGTAGGCACCGCCGGGCAGCTCGTCCTCGGCCATGGCAAAGTACCCTTCGCCCTCCGCCATGTAGTGCCCGCCGAGCGCCACTGGGCCCTGCTCAGTCCTAGAAGAAACAAGTGGGGTGCGGGGGTGGGGGAGAAAGGAGCACGGTGAGGACGCGCGACAGCGGCAGGCAGTGGCCCGCCGTGGTCTGAGCGCGCAGCCCCTCCTCGGCTCGCCCGGAGACCCTCCCCACCCCACCCCACCGCACCCCACCCCCCGCTGGCCCCCGCAGTGCCCCGCACAGCAGCCCCGCACCAAAAGTATCTCTGATGCATCTGGAAAGCGCAAGCGAGAGTCCCGTCTGTGTCACCTGGAGGCGGCCGCCCCTTCTAAGAGCGCAGCGAGCGAGGAACCGCGAGGCGGCAACACTGCCCGGAGCTGCTAGCGCACCGCCGGCAGCGGCTGGGATTTCGTTCTTCCCAGACCCCCGCCGCCTGCACCGCCACTCCCGCCCCTCGCCCCCGCCCGAGCCGCCGCCGCCGCTGCCGCCCCCGCTGCAGTGGTCCCGGAGGTGGCGGCTCCCGCTCCGCCGCCGCACACGCTCCTGTCTCTGGAGCTTTAGCAGTTGTGCGGGGGAAACGTCTTCAGTACTTTTTTTATACCGGGCTTCTCCGCGCTTCCGGGGCCCCGGCGCTGCGCGCTCGCCACACCCTCCTCATCTGCATAGGGCGCCGCCCCCGCCGCCGCCGCTCGCCGCCGCTCGCCCGCCCCGGCGTCCGGCGGAGCAGCCGCCGCGCCGCGCGCGGGGTGTCCACAGCTGGGAGCGCGGGGTGTCCACGGCCAGCAATGCGGGGGCTCCGGCCGCGGCGCTGTGCGGGTTTCCGGACGCGGGCGCTCGTGCGTGTATTTCTACAGATGCTAATTACGTACGCCACACGCAAGCCTCTTCTCCCACCTTCCCTCCCCTGCCCCTCCAAACAAGGAGACACTTAAAACGCCCTGTCCGAGGACTGAGAGGCCATGAATCCCACTAAATCCATGTCACCGGATCCCACTAGAATGGCCTAACTACAGAAACATCCCAAGCGAGAAATCCCGCCCGGGACCGCGTCCCTGCCGCGCTGGGGATCGAGCGATGCCGTCTTGGAAACTCTGTCTACACTCCGTGAATGAACTCGGTTCCCGTGCGGGCCAGCGAGTTCACGCGTCCCACGCAAACCGATCCCCTACGTGAGGGGCGGGCTGGCCGACAACTAGGTTTCGATTCCCGAAACCTCAGAACGCGCCGGGGAAGTCGCGGCGAGCCCGCGGAGACGCGGTGGGCGGTGCTGCGGCTCGCGGACGTGCGTCCGGCTGCGGCAGCGGGCGGCCCGGAGCGCGGCGGGGCCCGAGCGCGTCCCCGAGCGGCCGGCCAGTGGCCGAGCCCCGGGCGCGCCCCAGCGAGCGCGCGGCCGCCCGGGCGACGAAAGCGCCGCCGAGCGGGGCCTGACGCGCCGCGGCGGGAAAGCTGAGGCGGCGAAGCGCGTTCGGCGTAGCCCGCCCCGATGCGCTCATTTTCAGTGAATGAACATGTCAGTGGGAGGTGGCGCGGCGTGCAAAATACGTTTCAGAGGCTCCCCTGCTAGCGTCGCTCTCCTAAGCTATCCCTGCACACCCGCTCCCCCACCTTTGCAGACTGCTCCCCGCGCTCTCTACTTCGGTCCGCGCCCGCCGGCCGCTCGCCGCCTCTTTCAGCGGTTTGCTCTCCACGTAGAGGCTGTGGGAGGTTGAGGAAGAGGCGGCTGCGGGGAGAACGCTGAGGAAGCCGAACGCGCCTGCCCCCAAAGCCGGCGCAACTCCGGCCGCCGCTCCTGAAGTTGTGGGAGCCCGGAATTAGCCTCCGAAGCTGCGGGGCGTGAGGTGCGGGACTCTCCCCCGCGGCGCCGGCAGCGGCGTGACGCCGCCGCCCCCTGCCGGCGCCCTGCGGAGCTGCGTCCCAGGACGGAGAGCCGTGCCGGCCGCGGCCCCTCAGCCGCCCTCGCCGCCTGAGGAGTGGGCACCTGTGGTCCCTGTCAGCATGCTCCCCGGAGGGGGAGACATAGAAAGGCAGAATGCTTGAGCAAGGATGGGTAGCAGTGAGTTTGCTGGTGCACTGAAGGAAGGCTTTTGGGTTGCAGGGAGTTACGGAGCATCTCTGGGCCTGCCAGTGCTTAGCGGTCTGCACAGGGATACCTCTGTCTGTCAGTGCTGAGCATGGGATGTCTGCGGCTTGTCAATACCTTGTCGCTGGAGGACAAGGTAAGTACAAATAGCAAAACGTTTTTTTTTTTTTTTTGAAAGTGGGAAAAGGCCCATATAGATTGGCTCCCTTCGGTGGCCAGTGTGAATTCTGCCCGTTTTTAAAACATGGCCAGAAAAATCATCTATTAGATGCAGCGTACTAGAAAAAATCAAGTGTTTATGCCCACTGTAGTTATTTTCTAAGTTACTTAACCTTCCGTTAAAAATGAAAAAAATAAAAAGCAGAAGCTGTGCCCATCCCAGGATCTTATTCTGTGGATCTAGTAAGCTGCCAGGTGGTTCTGACACACACGTGCCCAACCCCACTTCGCGCTTTCCTGACAGCAGCTACTACAACCCTCCACCCCTTTCTCCAAGTGGATACCCTCTCCCAAGCTGAGGCTGCCCTTGCTCCCATGGCCTCTCCCTAGCATGCAGGCCATGACTGAGAGGTGGAAGCAGAAGATGAATCTGGACATTGAGGGCATGCTGTCACACTCTACCGAACCTGAGAAGGGAGCCTCTGAGCAGCCCTGGGACAGGACTCACCCGCCCCCCCGCCCCTTCCAGGACTTGTGGCTGGCACTTCCCCAAACCTTTCACTTAAGCATTCTCCACTTCCCAGCCATAACCCAGACCCTGCTGACTCCTGTACTACGGCACTCAGGACGTCTTATGCTTGACAGTGCCTTGGTGGACAATTTAGTCCTTGGATCAATGTGTTCGATTCATAGCTGCCTCTTGTTACATACTGTTGAATGACAATGTTGTTCATTGTCCCTCTTTTTTCTTGTCCCACTGAAAGGTAATATTTACACTCGGGGGGAAAAACATTCGTCCTTACATAAAATTGCAAATTTGCAATTGCCAGCATTAACATTTTTTCTAGATAACAAAATAATTATCCAGTTGTAAATTCCAAAATAATTATCCAGTTGTAAATTCCAAATACATTCACAGCCAGGAACTTTTTCAGCGTAGTTACTCTTAAATTGAAGTACAGGATTGCTTTGGTTTTCATGCTTTAGCTCCTGAACCTCACTGGTAAGTAATTTTCTTGTTCACATTTAAAAGAAAAAAGTGACAATGTCATACCAGGAGTTGAAGTTAGGACCACCACAAAACTGAAATACAGACAGTCTAAATATAGATTAATTTCTGAGGGAGCTAAGAATCTTTATTTAAAATTTTTAAAGGAAAGCCTTATTTACATTTTTGAGAGAAACATGATCTTGATTGAAAAGTTATAATCCATACTGAAATAAGAATTAACAAGAAGAAATTTGGTATTGGCTTTTAAGAGGGTTACTATTATTAAGGTTGTTATTATGTACCAGCCAGTGTTCTCAGTATTTTTATACATTACTTCTTTTGAACTTTCTTAAAAAACAGAACTTTATATATTTTCCAAAAATAAACATAAGGAGTAAGAGGGTAAGTAATTTCGAGAAGCAGCAGAACCTTGATTTGGACCTGCAGTGTTGGGCCCCTTATGTTCTGGGAGTCTCTATCTTTACATATTCCTTTTAGTCTTCCCTTTGGACTGCAACCATACTCTACTGCTTCTTCCTTTCCAAATTCTGGATGTTCACATTTGTCATAGCTGCACAGGCCAGGGCATTCTATCCTGCAAGAGTTGAAAACCAGAATGAACAATAGCCTGACGGAGCTAGTGGGAGCTTTGAATGACCCTCCCAGCAATGAGTGGAGAGCTAGACAATATGCTCACCAAGAGTTTTCAGGAAACCCACACACACTGAACCACAGCAGTAGGTTTGAAGACTGCCACAAAGTCACTTAGCAATGGTGCTCTCTTTCCTTTGTTGCACTGTTTGCTTCCTGTCTTCTCAAACATGGGAATTTCAGAATATAAGAAGCAAAGGAGCTTGAAATTATTTTCCCAAATTCATGCTGAAGGGGACATAGAGGAGAGCAGAGAACACTGCCAGTAAACCTACTACTTCCCTCTCACCCAGTGCACTAGCCAATCTCCTTCATGTTTGTGTTCCTTTCTTGCTTTTTTTATGCCAACCCTTTCCTTTATCTCTTTGATTTTCCACCTACTACCCCTTCTGCTGTTTGATCCTTCCCACGAAATGTGGCATGACCCTGCAGAAGCAGCATGCATACAGGCAGAGCAGTGGCCATATTAGGAGTTTGAGGCAATTCCCACCACCACTGTTTGAAACCTTCAAAGACAAATCCTGATGATTCCTGAGACCACTGAGTACCTCCTTGTCAGGTTTGCACACACAGGTATCTTCATTTCACAATAAACTGAAGATATGCCCATTGTCCAGTTAGTGTTGATAGAGCACCAGCTGATCACAGTGCTTCATCTAAAAATTAAAAAACACTTGAAAATGAAATTACATGTTTTCATAAGGAATTAGGGCTTGACAAAATGACTTTTCCCATGTTTTTTCAAGGAAATAGCAAATGTTTACTCAGAGCCTATCAAGAACCAGAAGCACCCCAAGTCATAAACTTCTAGGTTAGTTTGGGAATAATGGTTCAACCTATTCCTTACAAATTATTACTAATTGACAGGTTGAAATAATAGTTTTAAGTATCTCAACACTTTTTTTCCTGTAGTATCTCACTTTATCTTCAAAACTGTTCTTGCCAGTATTCAGTTATAAATTTCAAGATGAAACAAGTTTTGGTGATTTTCTCACTATGTATACAGCTAGTTATGAATAAGTTAGTTAAATTCAATTGTCCTCATCAAGGTGCAGCACTCTTTCCTCTTGAAAACAGTTTACTACATCTGCACGAGTGACTTCAAGTGATCAGGAACAAGTAGTTGAGCATAAAGGGATCCTCTGACTACACATGGGGTCAAATGTGTAGGCTACATTCTCACCTCTGAATATCGTATAATGGATCAGTACTATACTGTTGAGCATCTTGTACTTTCCCAGTTATTTTAAGTGTATTTATTTGAAGTATATGGCCACATAAAATAATTCCATTCACAGTCACAAATCAGTGAGGAAATTCAATATGTAAGCTACAAATAGGGTTGTACAAACCTGCATCAACACTCTTAAAATAAAACTTTGTATAGGGATGTCCTTTAGTAGAATTCTTCATCAGAAAGACTAGCCAGTATTCATTTTATTGTGCTGTTATCAGTACCTGTTATGCCAGAAGTCCTTCCTGTTTTGACATCTATGTGAAATTTTTGCCGTTTAAATCAATGTTGTAAGTCCCACAGACCAGACTG